ATATAAGACTTTTTTCTTTGGACACATATGGAAGTATGTGTGCTTTTAAATGAATTTTTTTTTCCCCTAAATGGGGTCATACTACGTTTGCTCTCCTGTTTATTGCTTTTTTTTTTTTTCAGTTGACATTTGAACATCTATTATGTGCTACTCTTAGGGAGTTATATATCTTTGAATAAAAGACAAACTTGACCTTAAGGAGTTAACCAGGATGAAGGAGGAGGGGTAGGGATATGGGGTGTGTTTCTTGCTCTATTTATTTGTTTAATGATTTTTATTTTTATTTTTAAGTAGGCTCCATGCTCAGTGTGGAGACCAACACAGGGCTTGAACTCATGACCCAAAGATTGAGACCTGAGCTAAGATCAAGAGTCGGATTCTTAACCGATTTAATCACTATGGAAGTTTTTCCATGTTAAATATAGACACAAACCATATTTCCTGTGATCTTTTGGTATTCCATTGTATATAGCTAACATCATTTAACTAATTCCCTCTTTTTTTTTTTTTTTAAATTTTTTAAAGATTTTTATTTATTTATCCGACAGAGAGAGAGACAGCGAGAGAGGGAACACAAGCAGGGGGAGTGGGAGAGGGAGAAGCAGGCTCCCCTCAGAGCAGGGAGCCCGATGCGGGACTCGATCCCAGGACCCTGGGATCATGACCTGAGCCGAAGGCAGTTGCTTAACCAACTGAGCCACCCAGGCGCCTAACTAATTCCCTCTTGATGGGCATTTAGGTTGGTTCTAATTTTTGATATTAACACTGCAATAAATATCTTTGTTTACTGAATTATTTCCTTAGGGTATGTTGTTAGAATTGCAGTTGACGACTCAAAGAGTATTCTTTCGTTTTTTTATTTTTACATTTTAGTTTCTTGTCAAATTCAGGGGTGTTAATTCTCTTCTGGTTTTCAGAGGTCAGACAGATTGACTCAGCCATGGAATAGCTAAGGATTGGTGTAGCATGGAGTTAATTATTAAATCAGTGGCATTTTAAAACTTTTGATTTTAAATTTAATTCTGAAATACAGTATTTGAAGCATACTGAGAAGATAACACAATATGATGGTCACTCAGTACTCATCATCCTGATGTAAGTTCTTCAACATTTTGCCAGGTTTGCTTCATCTCCATGTTATTTTTTCATAAAGGTATTAAATGTGCCAAAGCCCCATCCTTCCTTCCCTTTTCCTCCTTTCTTCCCTCCCTTGCTCTCAAGGTAACCACTGCCCTCTTGTTGGCATGTTATTCTCATGCATGTGTTTTGTTTTTTGGGGGGAAAGAACCCAAGTTCCAGTAGCTTCTTTATTTTTTACTAATTTTTAAATTTTAATTTCAGCGTAGTTAACATAATACTGTATTAGTGATTCAACAATTCTATACATTACTCAACACTCATCATGATAACTGTACTCTTTAATCCCCATCACCTGTTTCCCCCCCCCACCTTCCCTCTGTCTCATGCATGTTTTTATACTTCTGCTATATACATATGTATCTGTAGACCATTTGTTTTTCTGTTTGCAAGCTTACATGAATGGTATCATTCTGTGCTTGACCTTTTACAACTTACTTTTACTTTACATCATTTGGGTGTGTCTAAGGTGTGATACAAGTAGATTTCATTCATTTTTAACCTGATATATAGTATTCCATTGTATTTTTTTAAAACTCAGTTTATTGTTTCTATAGACTGTATATCTAGTAATAAAATGGCTGTTGTAAAATTTTTTCCGGTGTTGCAATTGTACATATAAAATTGAGGTTTTACAAATTACAGATTTCTGTATGATAACGATAGTTGTATATATAGTTTGTGTGAGGCTCCTCAGCTCAAGACTTCAGCAACTTTAGCATCATAATTAGAGCTAGCGCACTTACATGCTGTGCGCTGCTTACTGTACATCAGGTTCTGCTCTAAGCTTTTTGTGTGTTCCATATATCATATCATTTCATCCTCACAACAAGATAAGGAAATTGAGGCACAGAAAGGTTAAGTTGCCTAAGACCACTCTGCTAGTAACGACGGTGCTGAAATTGAACCCCTGCATTTAACCCTGTACACACTGCCTTCTAGTATACTCTTGTTGCTTTTTGTCATAGATTAAATATAAGAATTGCCTAGTCAGTACAGGATAATCACATTAAAACAATGTTAGTTGGTGGTTGGATGTCATAGTTTATGTGATTTCTAACTTGTTGAGTATCATGATTGTTTCTCCTAATAGAGGCAAATCTTCATTTACCCATGGGGATTTTGGGTTTTTTAAGCATTGATTGTGTCTAGTTGATTGAAAAAGTTTACATGTTCTACCACCTTAGAGCCTTCAGGGCGTCAAGGCAACACTGTGTCTAACTTACTACTTTGTGTTCCTGCGTTAGTGTCAAATGGAGCTATTTGGCCCCCAGATTCCCTTGTGCTAATAATGGTGTGAAATGTCATTACCCTGTGTAAGGCTGTTTTGATGTGGGGAGGCTGTGTTTACTGCTGTGGCTTATAATGTCAGAGCACATCTTCTCTCTTAAAGTAGATCAGGGACTCCTTTCGCTTGCCACTCGGGTCATGGAAGGATTGACTTCTGTAGTGCGAGTCTGAGGCCTGAGGTGAGCGGTCCTGGTGGACCAGGCTGCCATGACGAACCTGGGCAGTGGGTCTGCATAGACTTTCCACTAGTTCAAAGCCCTGAGACCTTTCTCAGGCCAGATTACTTTCCTATTACACTTCCTCTTAAAAAAAAAAAAAAAAGAAAACCTCAGAGGTTAGCCTGCCTGCCTCCTTTCTTCTGCCCCTCTTACTGCATCTCTTCCTGAGCTAAGCACACACCTTTCCCCCTCTCTTTGTTTTCCTCCACTGAGACCCTGTGTGGAGCATATTGGTGATGCATCAGAATCTCCTGGAATGTTTGTTCAGTGAAAATTACTGAGTCCCACGTTAGATCTACTGAATCAGAATCTCTGGGTGATGATCCAGTGATATATGAATATTTTTTTTAAAGTAAGTTCTATGTGCAACATGGGCCTTGAACTCATGACCCTGAAATCAAGACTCATCACATGCTTTACTGATGGAGCCAGCCAGGCGCCCCCGTGATAGATTAATTTTTAGCTTTTTCTTATGGAAGTTATGAACATGTCCAAACACAGAGAAAAATAATACTGTTAACCTTTATGTACCGGTGGTCCAGCTATGTAACGATCATCAGTTTGTGAGCCACTCTCCCATTGTCTGTGGACCCCTCCCACCTACCCTTGATTGTTTGGAAACAGCACAGATAGTATTTTTTTTTCCTATAAATACTTCAGTGTATATTTCTAAAAGATCACATTCTGTCTTTTGAGCAGCTATGTGTATTTTCCTCCCAGCTTTATAAATTTTTTTTAAAGATTTTATTTATGTGTGTGAGAGAGAGAGCACACAAGCAGAGGGAACAGCAGAAGGAGAGGGAGAAGCATGCCCCCTGCTGAGCAGGGAGCCCGATGTGGGGCTAGATCCCAGGGTCCTGGGATCATGACCTGAGCCAAAGGCAGACACTTAACTGACTGAGCCACCCAGGCACCCCCCAGTTTCATATTTTTGAAAAATTTTAGACCTATAGAAAAAAAATAACAGTGAATACCTTTATACTCTTTATGAAGGTTTTCCGATTTTGCCTTATCTGTCTCACTCTGTGTGTGTGTGTGTGTGTTTGTGTGTGTGCGCACATGCGCGCACATCTTATATACTTTTGTTGTTGTTGTTATACCCTTTGAAAGTAAGTTGGGACATAATGACAGTTCACTTCTAAATATCCGGCTTATTTCTCCTAAGAGCAGGGATGCTGTCCTATATAACTACAAATATAATAATCATACTTTGGATATTTTCTCTCTAAATGACCAAATAACGTCCTTTATAGTTTTCTTAATTAAAAAGGATGAAACATTACATTTGACCTACAACAGTTCCCTAATTCCTTCTTTTTAAAAAAATCTTTTATGACTTGGTATTTTTTCAGGTTAGGCCATTTGTTTAAGTGTATCTCTGAATTTGAATTTGTCTTATTGTTTTACCACAATTAGAATCAAATGACATATTTTTGGCAGAAAGACTGTAGTGATATTTTCTTCTTAGCACATCACATATGTCAGCTTGTCATTGTCAGTGACAGACCTCATGTTAGGCTGGTCACCTGGTTGAAGTAGCATCTGCCAGGGTTTTCCATTGCAGAGGCACCCATTCCCTTCATCGAGGAGTTTTTACCTGATTCACTTATTACAGTGCTTTGTTATAGTTCACTTATTATAATGCTTTTGTCTTAGAGCTACGTAGCTTTAGGGACACAAAGGGCCAAAGTAAGATTCATCCGTACTTTTGAAGAACACCCTTAGTTTCTTGGCATTTTGTTATTAGAACATGAGCTGCGGAGCCAGGGTGGTGCAGTTGGTCAAGCATCCAACTCTTGGTTTCGACTCAGGTCATAATCTCGGTTGTGAGATGGGGGTTCTGTGCTGAACGCAGAGTCTGCTTGAGATTCTCCCTCCCTCTACCTCTGCCCTTCCCCCATCCTCTCTAAAATAAATAAACAAATCTTGGGGAAAAAAAACTGATGTGGGCAGAAATAGGGAAGTAAGAGGCTAGGAATATGAACACACGTGAACTCAGAGGAATATCTGTGTGTGTCTGAGGTCACGGAATGGTGTGGGAGGGCCCTGTTCCTGTTCTACTCATCGTGTTGCGATAGCCCTGCAACTGGACCGTAAGAGATTAGAGTCTGGGAAGAGTGACGAAAGCCCCAAGCATCACGACTGTAACGGAATGTTGAGCTCTTGTGCTGCTTGCCTGGACCTTAACGTCCAGTTGACCTTTGAAGGTGAGAGAGGCCTGTCAGCTTATATATATATTTGAGATTGCTCGTGTTTATACCTGACTACATAACTCTCATAATCTTCAGTGAGGAGGGTCCTTACTGTCCTGAATCATGATCAGATTTGCTCATAACAAAGCTTTCTCTTTTCCAGTGGGTGAATTTGTAAGTGATGTTCTACTAGTTCCAGAAAAGTGCCAGTTTTTCCACAAAGAGCGGATGGAGGTGTGTGAGAATCATCAGCATTGGCACACTGTAGTCAGAGAGGTAAACGAATGGATCATGTGTTGTTTTTCCTGTTAAGAGAGGAAGTAGCATTTTCTTCTGGACCTCATGATTTCAAATTGATTTGATTTTCCTTTTATCTTTTCAAAGTTTATGATTACTTGTATCTTCTAAATTAAAAATATTTGGGAGGATGTTTTTATAGGGAAATACAGTGTTGACGATCCAGCCCCTCGAGTTAAGGATGTTGAAAAGCAAGGATGCTGTCTGCGAGGTTCCCAAGGGGGCCATCCCAACCCTAGGGCCTTAGAGTAGAAATAGCCAATAATAGACAATCGATGTCTCGACATACATACTGATAGGATTAGATGCCATTTCATTCTTGTGGGAGGAGAAATAGCCTTTTTTATACTTGCCTTCTATAGTTAAGTGGGATCTCTAGTCAGTTTCTTTTGTCAAATTCTGACACCATGCCCTCACAGCGAGGAATGTAAATTATCGCTGACCACCTTTAGTCAGCATTGATAATTACTAGAAGAATTCCCTTTTCCTTAATTTCTAACTTTGGGCCCTCATTGTTTCTGGCCCAGATGATGTTTCCCCATCGCAAGTTAAGCAAAATGTGTAAATCTTCTTAAAGTAATAGCATCACAGCTTGTTGACAAAAAATTTGTGTCCATGAGAGAAAGCATTACATAGTGATTTGATAGGCATTTCTTTTGGATAAAGCTAATGATCGGGGACTACTTGACCAAATGTGTTAATATTCTGATGTGGACCTCTGGGTTTCTTTTAGGCCTGTCTGACTCAGGGAATGACCTTATATCGCTACGGCATGCTGCTGCCCTGTGGGGTAGACCAGTTTCACGGCACTGAGTATGTGTGCTGCCCTCAGACAAAGATTATTGAATCTACTGTGTCGAAGGAAGAGGAGGAAGAGGAGGAGGAAGAAGAGGAGGAGGATGAAGAGGAAGACTATGATATTTACAAAAGGTAAACTCTTGTCCTGCGCCTGTGAAATGGTTTTGCTGGTGGCACTGGGCTGCCGGTCCCTCCCTCTGGGTAAAGTGGGCATGCCCTTGTTTGCGCTGGAGTTGAGCCAGCTGGCATTCATTCTGGCCACAGGACTTTCTACAGGTAAATGCAGTCCCTGCCCACCAACTCCGCCCTTTTGCTGGTGTAGCTGGGCTGAGGGCTGTCGTGGCACAGTGAACTGTGAGTTGAGCTTATTTCCTGTCTCTGCTTTTGTGTTTCACAATAGGGAAGAGAACCATTGTTGTGCCGTGCACATAAGAGTCGGTATTAACCTTCCTTTTCTGTTGTGACCTTCAGTGAATTTCCTACCGAAGCAGATTTGGAGGACTTCACAGAAGCAGCTGTGGATGAGGACGATGAGGATGAGGAGGAAGGGGAGGAGGTGGTGGAAGACCGTGATTACTATTACGACACCTTTAAAGGAGATGAGTACAATGAGGAGAACCCAACTGAACCCAGCCGCGAGGGGACGATTTCAGAAAAGGAAATTACTCACGACGTTAAAGGTAACCTGACGTAAAGCCATGACGTTAAAATCCACTTGGTAATACTTGCTTACGATTTTGGACTGCATCCATCGCAAGTAAGTCACAGAAGGAGAGGTGGCGCTCCTGGGCACCGACGTGAAGCCAGCTCTCCAGCACGCTGGTGGTGCCTAATGTTAACGCTGGGGGGCCAGGCCGCTGTAGCAGCTGGAGTGGACACACTCAGGGAGGGACCCAGAATTGAATCAGAAACTCTCATTTGCATTGTAAGGACCTAACTAGAGAAGGAGGACCAGTCCAGAGACTCAGGGAGATAATGTGGTTTTTGCTTGGGCAGGATCCTTCCACATGCAGCCTGAAATGTTCTCTCCCCGAGGGGAGGCCCCCTCCTCAGTACTTCTAAAGCCCTGACCTTCTAGAATGGAGGTGACTTGGTTCTTTTCCGGAGCATGTTCCCATCTGTAGGCTGCCCGGTTTGTCCACTAGAAGATGTCTGTGCCTGGGAGGGTGGAGTTTAATGACCTACCGGCAAAGGATTTTCATCTTGCCAATTCCCAAAAAAGAGGGAAAAAAGGTTGTGACCATTCTAGAGCGACTGGCACGCAGCCTCCTGCTGACTGTATGTTTGAAGCCAGTGAAGCTCTGAAGAATTAGTTAGGACTTAGTGTGGGGGGAATACTTAACAAGTCTAGAAGCTTTTGATGGACCTAGGAGAACGTAAAAGTGCCCACGCATGCTTCCCGGGTGCCGGAGTAGCTTCTCCTGTGGTCATCACCACCAAAGCAGCCTTTTCACCCGCACTGGGCTCCTTTGGTCCTTGACACCGGCACGTGGGACAAGTCAGGCAGACGTCTCCACTGGCCAGATCAGAAACGTGAGGCTCACGGAGCTGTGAGACGCAGAGCTCCTCCCCGTCAGTCTAGCCTCCAGCCGGTGTGAGAAGCGCTGTGTTCGGTTCCTGCCGCCTTCACCGCGTCAGAGCGGGCGAGCGACTGTGTCCTCCCGGACGGCGGGCTGGAGGTGGTGCGTGCGCTGGCCGGGCCAGCGCCGTTCCGCCGGGCTCGAGTGCGCGCGGGCGCGGGCGCGCCCTCCTCCCGCCGCTCGCGGCCGGTAGCAGTTGTGAAGCACGTGAAGCCGCTGCCTCTGCCTCTGCCCTGCTGACATTCTGACCGTTTCCACACAGCTGTCTGCTCCCAGGAGGCCATGACGGGGCCCTGCCGGGCCGTGATGCCTCGTTGGTACTTCGACCTCTCCAAGGCAGAGTGCGTGCGCTTTATATATGGCGGCTGCGGAGGCAACAGGAACAATTTTGAGTCTGAGGATTATTGTATGGCTGTGTGTAAAGCGATGAGTAAGTCCCGGCGCGCGGGCTCCGCGCAGCGGCCCTCGCGCGGCGGCCCTGTCCTGTCCGGCGTCCTGTCCGGCGTCCTGTCCGGCGTCCTGTCTCTCTCCCGGCCGTCCTCGTGACCGCATCTGTGTAGTGCTCCCTGCCGACGCAGGGGCTTGCTGTCCGGCGTTTCTCCCCTCCTCTTTGTGCTTTCTAGATCTAGGCTTTGCTTTCCTGTTGGCAGTCGCGAGCCCAGTTCTGTATGTCCCATGCTCACCGTGGGTCTGGTGGCGGTTGGTGCTGTGTCCCCTCCGCGGCACAGCGGGGGAGCCCAGGGGCTTGGTCTTTCGCACCCCGCCTCGTCGTCTGTGGGCTCCCTGAGCGCTTCTGTGTTGGTTGGGACGGCAGCCTTGCCCTTGGCCGTGTGCGGTGGAAAGGTGCAGAGCGGTGAGCACAGCGGCCATGAGTTCTGCCCATTCTCATCTCTGGGCTTTTTCCTCTCGTTCTCGTCTTTGAGCTGCCCTGTCGCCCAGCCCCATGGTGCTAAGGGGGACGACACTTCTTCCAAGAAGTGACCCTAGGAGCACTTTCTCTGAGAGTGCAGAATACCGCAGTGTCTTGCTTTAGGCACTCTAGGGAGCGGGCTGAGCAGCTGCGGGGTAGTAACTGTTCCTCCAGCGTTCTGGCAGCGCAGCCTCACGCAGAGCTTTAGGAAGTGAAAGAATTCTAGTTCGTGTGTCCTTTGGTCACAGGAAATTCAGCGGTTCAGATGAGTTGGGTTCACTTAGCCACGGGTAGGAGAACGTTTGCTTTTCTCCGCGGTTACTCCCTTCCCTTTTTAAGGCCCCCATTCTCTTACCTTGCCGTGCTAGCCCATGTGTTTGGAAAATCCTCACTCAGGCGGGGCCCTCACTTCTTGGTTCTGATTCTGGAACTCGTTAGAATAAGGAGTTGCTGGCCGTCCCCGGTTTTTGCTCCTAAGCTTCTGATGGCTTTTCATTCGAATACCTTCACGTTCCTCTCTCCTCCCCCCACCAAAAGATGTTTTAAATCTTGATATGATACGGTCTGCTTTTAGCATCTCCACTCCAGCCGCTGCTCTGTGGAAAAGCCATGTTTAGTAGGAATAATTGAAAGTGTGGGAACAGTATGAGTCCTTAGGGAACTTTGGTGGCAGAAACTTTTTTTTACTCAGGAAAGATATAGAGACAGAAATTATTGGGATATTTCCTGCTTTGTAAAATTACTTAAACTAAGGTGCAACAACACATGATTTGGGGGTGAAGCCTGAGGAATCAGGGGTCATTAAGGATCTCCCTGAATACGGAGAGGGAGTTGTTCCCCAAAGGATCAGATAGGTAGTGCTGTAAGCTGTGACGGAATGGCTTGCTCTTCGGAGCATTAATGGTTCTGCAGTCTGCAAATTTGTAGTTTCCCAGTGCTTATGGTAGGGAAGACTTGCCGCAGAGAAGCATGGTATTCATGTACTTGTGAGTCCCCAGCTTGAGTGCTTTAAGAGCCTAGAAGCATCACTGTGCCACTGGTTCAGTTTGTGCCCCTCCTTGAAGGGGGTCAGAGGCGGGCAAGTGTGCTGGTTTCTTGAGCTGGTTGTTTTCACATGGACAGAAGGATGTGGTTCTAGGTCTGGGTCCCATCGTATTTTCAGAAGCAGCGCTCTGGGGCCAATAGGCCTTTACCTTTTGTTCCCAGGAGGTTGGAGGCAGCTTGTGTTCTGTATTATCTTTATCCAGCCCAGTGATAGGAACCAAAGACTGTCTCCAGCACATAAGCCTTTAAGCTGCAGACGTGCTGCTGATGGCCGCGGGCTTATTGGCACCGATGGACTTCACGGCTTTGAAATTCTCCCAGCTGAACTTTGGAGTATCATGGGGAATGTGGTTTGTGAAGCTGTATATTCTAATTTAGTTAATCTGAAAATTGGCTGTGGTGATCCTATTTAAACTTAGGTAGGAGCCAAATATTCTTGACAAGATTTTAGTTGCAGCTTTTAGGTTTAAAGCTAAGGAAAAGATGCTTTGGCGGAAGAACTTTAGAGTGGCTGACTAATTTGTAGTTACATTTGTCAGTTATACAGTTATTTTAGTGTTGTGTTACAGCTACACAGTTCTGAAAATTAGGTGACTTTATTTCTGAATTGAAATTTATTGGGTTTTGGTATTGGCTCTCCACTTAGCTCTAATATCATACAGCAAGTTGTACAAGCAAGTTTTATGTCCTTCCTCCCTGGCTTGGGAAATTGGGAGTGAACTGGGCTAATCAGTTTTTCATAGGCATTTCTTAAGGGGTCAGGTAGGTAAACTTGTCATCTCAAACCTTTCTTTTATGAGGTTAAGCTCCCTGGTGCAGCTATTCACTTGCCTGGGGCCAGTAAGCCCTTAATGCTTGACTAGCAGGGAGGAGTGTGTTTTCTAATGGGTTTGCTCTCTGGGCGATGGCCTGGTAAGGCCAGTGAGTGCCATGGGTTGAAACGCCCAAAGTATCTTCACACTCTGTGGTACGTCCTTGTCAAATACAGCAACTTAGTGTTGTCCCTCTTATCCCTGGTCTTGGGGGTGGGGCTAAGACTTCTTCAGTCATATTGACAACTAAAAAATTAGAGCTAAGCAGCTTGGACTTTCTCTACGCAGTCTCTGTGCAAAGACCATTCAGCCCTAAAGTTCCTTTCAAAATGGAGAATTTGGGGAGGTGCCTTTGCAGGTCTGATATCTGCCCTTGTCCCTGGCTATAGAAGCAATCAGTGACAGCAATAAATAATTAGATTTTACTTTTTAAGATTTCAGGAACTGAGGGAAGGTATAGAGGATTTCTTTTTCTTTCCCTGAAGTCCTAAGTAGGAGCCAAAGATACCAGGGGGCAGGGACTGGCCTGGTGGCCGAATGTCACGTAAGGAAGATGGAGCACTGTGATCTGACCAGGTGGAGTCTTGGCAGACAGGAGCACCTTGTCCTGGGAGCACGGTGCGAGGCAAACTAGTGCGTCCCACAGGTCCTCAGCTTGGTCTTCTTCCTAGGGCTCAGTGAGCTTTCCGTGTTGGGCCTGACCCCCAGAGGGAACCCCTCTTGTTATTTCATTTCAGTTCCCCCAACTCCTCTGCCAACCAATGATGTCGATGTGTATTTTGAGACCTCTGCAGATGATAATGAGCACGCTCGTTTCCAGAAGGCTAAGGAGCAGCTGGAAATACGGCACCGCAACCGGATGGACAGGGTAAACTTGGTGCTTCCTTATGCTCCTGGTGTTTGGCGTTGGGTAATAGCGTTTTCATAGCTGAAGAAAAGGGACACCGCCCCCCCCCCCCCCCCCCCCGCCAGATTGTCATGCTGTGTTAGGATAGGTGAGGTGTGAGAGTTGAGCAGGGCTGTATTCTGGGCGAACCTAGCTACCCCCCCGCCTCCCCACCCCCAGATAATATAATACTCTCTGAGTGCTTACTGTGTTCAGACTCTGCAGAGCACTTCCTATAACTGTTATGTCCTTGTTATTTTTCTTTGCTATTAACTAGCTTTTAAAATTTTTTTATATTAAGGAGGGAAACTTTATGTAACTGTTGTAAACAGAAAGCTAGTATCTTTTGCCAATAGAACAGGTAACTGTAAAAATAGATGAAAGCAAACCTGTATTAACATATTTTAGCTAGATACTGTTGCCTGCTGAAGCTTCTGAGTCTTGGGATGCTGGTGTTTTTTTTTTTTTTTTCCCCAAGATTTATTTATTTGACAGAGCAAGAGAGGTAGAGCAGCAGAGGGAGAGGGAGAACCAGGCTCCCCGCTGAGCAAGGAGCCTGACTCCCAGGACCCTGAGATCATGACCCGAGCCGAAGGCAGATGCTTACTTAACCAACTGAGCCACCCACGCGCCCCTCAGGATGCTTTCTTAAAAGAGTTATAAGGCTTAGAGCAACATTGAGCACCGTAGTGCAGCTTTCTCCTAGAGTTACTTAGGAAGATTAAAAGAAAATTGAAAAGAATTTCTTGTTAGGTCTGAATACCACCTAAAATCTCACACATCACCTGTGCTGGGCTTATACTTCAGGGAATGTTTATTGTTCTCTTTTATCCACAACAGTTCTGAGAAATAGGTATGGAACATGACCTCCCGCGCCCCCTTGCCCCCGCCCCCCACTTGTTTTAGTGTGTGAGGAGGCTGAGGCACAAAGACTTTTAAATAACTTGCCCCGGGTTATATAGAACATGGAGGTCATGGAATTGAGGCTCTGTTTGGGGATGGTCGTGGTCCAGGACCTTCTGAGACAGTAATTCTGTGAACAAGCTTAAATAGCCCTGAGCTTGTGAGGGGTCATATGATGCGATTTCCATTTGCAGTTTCCTATATTAGATTTCAGGGCCTGGCGGTATTGTTAGAAAATGGGGGGATTGTTTCAGAGATGATTCTCTGGTGCTAGTGGCTTTGACCCTTTGTTCTAGGTAAAGAAAGAATGGGAAGAGGCTGAGCTTCAGGCCAAGAACCTCCCGAAAGCAGAGAGGCAGACTCTCATTCAGGTAAGATGCATTCTCTAGGGACAGCCAGAGTCCCAGGAAATTAGAGTTTGACACTTTCTTTCAGTCAAGAGCTTATGTTACAGGGAAGTTTTAACTGGCCTGCTTTTTTTGTTTGTTTTTTTCCTCACCTCCAAACTGGCATTCTCTAGAATTGATCACCTATAGTAGAAGGAAAGCAAACAAACTAGATTGTACCTAGTTCATGCCAGGAAGCAACCTTAGCTGGCTATGTTTGTTAATTCTGCTTTCCTGGCAAAAATCCTAAGTCATTTTCATTCTTAGGCTGTGACTTGTTTTTCAGCAGTACTGACTTCTTCCCCCCCCCCCTCATTTTTATTTATTTTTTTAAAGATTTCACTTATTTATTTGACAGAGACCGCGAGAGAGGGGGAGTGGGAGAGAGAGAAGCAGGCTTCCCGCTGAGCAGGGAGCTCATTGTGGGGCTCGATCCCAGGACCCTGGGATCATGACCTGAGCCGAAGGCAGACGCCTAACGACTGAGCTACCCAGGCGCCCCTTTTCTCTCTCTCTCAAAGTATTTATTTGAGAGAGAGAGTGAGAACATGTGCGTGAGTGTGTGTGAGTTGGGGGAGGGGCAGAGGGAATCTTTAAGCAGACTCCCTATTGAGTGCAGAGCCCAAGGGTGAGTCCGTGGGTGGGGGCTCGATCTCAAGACCCATGAGATCGTGACCTGAGCCAAGACCACGAGTCTGACACAGCCGGCTGAGCCACCCAGGGGCCTCCTGAATTCTTTTTTTTTGCAGACTTCTTCAGAAGTGGAAAGGCAGACAATAAGACACTCTTGATACCAGTTCTTCTCTAACTTTACAAGAATGTAACATTAGAGGGACGCCTGGGTGTCTCAGTCGGTTAAGCGTCTGCCTTCGGCTCAGGTCATGATCCCAGGGTCCTGGGATCGAGTCCCGCATCGGGCTCCCTGCTCTGCGGGGAGCCTGCTTCTCCCTCTGCCTCTGTCTCTCTCTCTTTGTCTCTCATGAATAAATAAATAAAATCTTTAAAAAAAAAAAAAAAAGAATGTAACAGAATTGTAACAGCAGCTGGGTGCCCCTTGAATAGAAGAGTGTTGCTAGGAATAGGGATAGCAGTTTGTAAGACCGATTTGGGTTTCATAAAGCAAATTATGATTCACTGAAATCTATCTTCTCGTGATGTTAATACTTTATCGGGACACCTTTTCCTTTTTATCAATCACCTAGAAAATCTAAGAGTGTTAATTTCTACATAGCCAATGCATCCTATGCAGGGAAATTTAGTTCCACAGCCTTAAACTTTACTTTTAAACCTGGCCAGGTACTTACAGATAACTTACCCTTCAGGACTTCGGTGTGAATGACTCAGCGTAACTTACCACATTACTGGGATATGTTTCAAAATATAGTTCCTGTTGGTGTGTCTCGGGATTTGGAAGTGGCACCTTTGCTAAGTATGGAAAGGACAGCATCCCTTCTCTTGCAGGACACATTGGGAAAGCCCGCCTTGGGCTCATAACACTAGTGATTTCAGTGACGGAAGTGCTAATTCGGACTCCGACGCTCAGATTTAACATGCTCTCAATTAGATAAGTATGTAATTTTTCCAACAGCAATCAGAGTGTACTTGGATCTTACCCTTGCTCCACTCCTCTGACCCGATTATCGACTCTCACGGGCTCTGGGCCGGAGAGGCAGCACCGCGGTCTCAGGCTGTTTGCTTAGACTTCCTCCAGGCACCACGAATTACCTGTCGGTTCTGCTTTCTCGGTTTAGCACTTCCAAGCTATGGTTAAAGCCTTGGAGAAGGAGGCAGCCAGCGAGAAGCAGCAGCTGGTGGAAACCCACCTGGCTAGAGTGGAAGCTATGCTGAACGACCGCCGCCGAATGGCTCTGGAGAATTACCTGGCTGCCTTGCAGTCCGACCCCCCGCGGGTGAGTGCTGTGCGGAGCTCAGTCACTGGTGAACGCTGTCCTGGGGGTTGCCTGCTCTAACGTAGGCTATGTGTAGAACCAACGGATGAGGACCACAGGTCAGCAAAAAAGATTCCATTTCTATGACAAGTTCTGGCGAGGCTGGAGGAGGTAAGGAAAGAAGAGGAGGGAGGAAGAGGTATTATGTTCTAGTATGTGCTTAGGTCACCGTAGCATATCACACTTTCTGCTTGCATATGCCGCCTGTGATAATGGAAGTATCTTACCTCACAATATTGGTTGGTAGTTACTCAATTATTGCATTTTTGTAGTAGCTTTACTTTCAAAGATTAAAAACCTGTCTTTCAAAGCTTTTGCACTCAATTCTGTTCTAAATAAGGTTATGAAAAAAGGGGTAAAGGAACTTATGTCGAAGCCCTTTGCGCTAGTGACCTCATACTTCTTTATCCCTTAACTCTAACCTGCCTTGCTTTGAGGGGATGGAAAGTACTGGAAAGTAGGATATTAGTACCCTTCTTAAGTGAGCAAGTAAAAGTCTTTTCTGGGTGACACGGGGGCTGCCTACCTTGTAATTAAGGTGTCCGACACTGTTAACCCAGGGGAGAGGACAGAATGAGTGGGAAAATACTGTTGGTTATGGCTTTGGAGCTTAGTTTTTGGTACTTTCTGTAGAAAGGTAGTTTCTTGCTACTGGGTAAGCTAAAAGCTTTAAAAAGCATAGCTTTCATCCTTACGCCTGGCTGGGCTTTACATTCTTAGGTGAGTGTTTTTAAACTTTGCTTTCCTGCCTGTTTTCATTCTGTAGTCTCTGGATCTTAAAACTACTGTTCTCTCTTGCAGCCTCATCGCATTCTCCAGGCCTTGCGGCGTTATGTCCGCGCTGAGAACAAAGATCGCCTGCATACCATCCGTCATTACCAGCATGTGTTGGCTGTTGACCCAGAAAAGGCAGCCCAAATGAAATCCCAGGTACGCTAAACAGAGTAGGAATTGCAGCGGGAGAGTGTCTCTAGCGGGGAGACTCTGCTTTGACCAGTGGTTGGGCAGCGCTGATAGTTGTGCTTGGAAAATGATAAATGGTTTCCGAAGACATTATGAGGTTACAAGAGTTGGTTTGTGCAAAGATATGATTTTTTAAAAATATCTTCCCCGTACTTTCTTCTATTAAATCATTTCTATTTAAAAGAGTTTCTGGAAGTTTAGAAATGCATGATCATATTGAAGAGTTAAGTCAGTTTCTCAATCTTTTTTTTATATCCGTTTATTTCTGATTTCAGGTACCACCAGAATGAATATTTGAAGTCTTTTTCTAGGCAACTATATCAAGCAGTTCTTAAAAATTATTTTGTTCTGTACATTAGTTTTAATTGAGACAGACACTGGTACCTTCCTGGGTTTGTTCCTTTACAGTCTGGAGAGGTTCGTTTCTGGACCCTCTTAATTTCGGTATCGTCCATCTGTTAACTCGCAAAACGTTTTACTCTCTTGTATTTGTATAAAAGAAGCCTTGCCTGCAAGACTGCTGGCTTCCTTGTAAACCAGCAAGTCTAATAGCTTAGGCTCTTGGGTTTTCCTAGAGGGCCTTGTCATGACACAACTGATCTTAATTTCCTCCCATATTTTAAATTTAGTGCTGCGCTGATTGTCCCGTGTCCATGGGATGCACTTAGCCTCGAGGACACTTGCCCATCTCCTCAGGGACTCCCCTCCCAGCCTCTTGCCGAGTGTGTATTAGGATTGCAAGGCAATCTGCCCAGAAGTCTTAGGAGTCTTGCAACTGAGGTGGCTGCTCCCCTGGTTCAGAAGTTGGCTGAACCTGCTGTGTAGACAGTGCCTGCTGTCTACATGCCCAACTCGGCACTAGCATCTGACCTTGCAAAATGGAATCACTTGTGTACCCTTGGGCAACTCACCATCAGTGTAGTATTAATTATAGTAGCTATAAAGATGAAGAATAACTACCCTTTTATTTATTTATTTTTTAAAGATTTTTATTTATCTGAGAGAGAGAATGGGAGACAGAGAGCATGAGAGGGGAAGTGTCAGAGGGAGAAGCAGACTCCCCGCTGAGCAGGTAGCCCGATGCGGGACTCGATCCCGTGACTCCAGGATCATGACCTGAGCCGAAGGCAGTCGCCTAACCAACTGAGCCACCCAGGCGCCCCTAACTACCCTTTTAAACATACAGAGTTGATCTAGAGGTCGGATGTTTGGGGGAACGAGAAGAGTGGGAGAATGTGGACAGGGGTGGCTCTGGGGACCCCAGGAGGCATGTGGTACGGGTCTGGAGCTCAACGCTTTGCTTTGAGCTGGTTGGAGTAGAAGAGAAGGCAGAAGGTCAAGTCCTGGAGTAGCTTCCAGGAAGTGTAGGTGGAACAATGCATCCACCTTGACAGGGGCTAGGTTTTTCAGGTCTACTTGGTTTTTTGAAAACAAAAACAAAAACATAACCTTTTTTTTTTTTTCTCCCAGATTTTTTGTGGACAAACTAGATTATAACGTAGATCACGTAGTAGTTTACAGAAGAGCCATTTTTATGGTGTGAGAGTAGAAGGAAAGGAGAGACCTTGATCAGTGTATCGACAACTAGGGAATGAGTTGCCTGCCAGCAAGATCGCGGTGCTGCAGCGGACCGCTCCCTTCTTAGCAGATCCGGGGGAAACCCAGCTCCTCCGGCATGATAGTTGCTGGGTGCTCTAAACCCTTAGTTCTAGTGGAACTTGGCTGCTGAATTACATGAACTTTTGCATGTTCCCCGTTATCTACACTTTAGAAAGTGCTGACTACGTTCAGCCAATGGCAGTTGGCGTGTTTGGTCTGGGGTATGAGTGGTGTGGTGCCCTTCCGCCTCATCCTGTAGCTCAGGGCTCACCGTGAAGGCACGGATGTCCAGTATTCCACCGTGCGGCCCTTGTTTCTTCTGGGGGCATATGAACCGGCTTCAGTCAAAGGGCTCCTTAATTCATCTGAAGTATAACAGCATCCACACACGCGCCAAGACTGGGGGTGGTGCATTTTCACTTTCCATTTGCATTCTCTCTCTAAGGCACTTACTCTTGTGCTTTCCCATCAATTTACTTGATTGAAAGAATGGCAAATATAAAATTAAATTGCTTTCATCCCTGTTTTTAAAGGTCAGAGAGACATCAATCTACAGTAAAAGCATCTTTCCATTTAATTTTTTTTTCCATTTTGACTATGTTAATGGCTTCAAGCCCACATAATTAATCCATGGGCTTAGAGCACCCTCTTTAGGACGAGTGTGGTAACTGCAAGTGTAACCATCCTGAATTAGCCTGTGTGAGCTACAACACAAGGCCTCACTGTGGCCTTGGGGTGGATGATAGCCCACGTCACCTTTCATTTCCACCCCCAAAAAGCTTTAAAAGTGACCAGTTTTGATGGCTTTTTTCCTTTTTAAAAAATATGAACAACCTAGAACTGTTGCATTCAGAGAAGGTGTAGTGAACTGCAGAAGATAGATGGTAGGTCTTTATCACCCCTTAAAATCAGGTTTACTTATACCTCGGTGTAAATATTGGAAGGAATACTAATTCAGTTAAATATGAATAAACTTGTTCTGTTATTCACCATGATAATCATTTCAAGCAATTACTTCACTAAGCAAATCCATGAATGGCCCCCTCTCCATGCAAATCTACTTTTTAGCCAGTGATTTCATTCTCTTTTTACGCCATCTAATCTGACCAGTGGTTAAAATGGACTCATTCCATCTTTCACTCAGCAAAACCTTACCGAGTATCTGGCATTGTATAAATTAGGGTTCCTTTATTCTCGATTAGTACAGTTGCTAAGTGCCTCGTATAAAAATCAAATCAATAACTGCCTAGTGAAAGTTTTTAAATTAAATTTTCTTCTAACTCCGAGCACCGTCTGGATAAATTCTCAGATCACCAAGGGGTATTACACACAATCTGAACATACTCCTTGACATCAGCGCCCCTCCCCACCCCCACCCCCCATCGGAGGCTTCGTTTCTGTGGTCTCAGTTACCCACAGGTCAGCTGTGGCCCGGAAGCGAATGATCCTCCTGATGTAGCGTCAGGAGGTCAGTAGGAGCCTAACTTTATGTCCCAGGGCCTCTGTCATCCCCGTACTTCATCTCCTCACGTAGCATGTTCTCATCTGTCCTCATCACTAGAAGAAGGGTGAGTATAGTGCGGGAGGGTATTTTGAGGGAGAGACCCCATTAAATCACTTTATTATAGTGTAATTGTTCCATTTTATTATTAGTTACTGTTACTCTCTTACTGTGCCTAGCTTATAAGTTGAGCTTTATCATAGGTATGTATGCACAGGAAGAAGACCCAGTATGCATGGGGCTCAGTACTGTCTGCAGTTTCAGGCATCCAGTGGAGGTCTTAGAACGTAGGCCCCACAGAGAAGGGGGGGGACTGTTGTACTGCAGTGGTCAGCAAATAACGTGGGGTGGATGCATTTCCTCTGGCCAGCTGCTTTGCTGGACTCTGTAGAGAATATGCTTTTTCAGCTGATCTTTGCGGAAGTGTGTGTCTGCAAGTTTCCTCTGGGCCTGGCTCTGTTGGTAACAAGGCCTCTCCACCGTACTGTACCTCCAGGTGATGACCCATCTCCATGTGATTGAAGAAAGAAGGAACCAGAGCCTCTCCCTGCTCTACAAAGTACCTTACGTAGCCCAGGAAATCCAAGAGGAAATTGGTGGGTGCTGTGTTTGTATCGCGGTCCAGTGGGACTTCTGGCTGAGGCTCGGGGGTGGCAGAGTGCACGATTAGAGAAGTCGGGACAGCCAGGGTCAGGAAGCTGGGCATTAGCACGCCAGGGTGTAAGTCTCAAATTCACTGGAGCTTATGTGGCAAGGTCAAGGAGTAACCCAGGACAGATGTACTGGCTGTGAGCCACGGAGCCTTGAGTTTCTTGACCTTTACTCTGTGACCGGAAGAAAAACTCTAAGGTGTGAAATTGCAAGGGACCAGTGGAACTTCCTGTTGCCCTTTTGCCCCTTAATTCCTGATGCATTTCAAGGCGCCTGCTTTACACACCTTGTCACTTCTCCTGCCTCTTCTGCTCTTCACCTGCTTCATTTATTTGGCAAATATTTATCGTGGCTACTGTGTGTCACAGAGTAAAGTGGTGTGTGAGCAGGCAGTACATCCTGGAGGTCAGGTTACAGTAGGGGAATCAGGAAAATAAGACAAGGAGTGCCACGGGGTGGGGGTGGGGGCAGACGGACAGGGTGGACCCGTGGAGAGTGGCTGGGTGGTCAGGAGGGCCGTCTCGGGCACAGTGACCTGAGATCCACATGACGGAAGGAGCCTCCCACGCAGAGACCACGAGGGGGAAACACTGAGCACAGGGAATGGCCGCTGCAGCTGCCTGAAGTTCAAGTCGAGTGGACACATTTGAGTAGATCAGTGTGGCGAGAACACAGTGGGGGAAAAAGGGGGCCAAAGAAGTTGGCAGAGGCCAGTTTGTTCAGAGATTTTAGCAAAAGCAAGGAGTTTGGGTTTTATTCTAGGAAAATGGGAAGCCGTTAGAGGGTTTTAAACTAGGGAGTGACTAGATCTGTATTATGCTTTAAAAAAGAACAGGAATTAAAAAAAAAAAAATCCTTGGCTGCTGTGTGCTATTAAAATTACAAACCTGCCAGGAAGCCATTATAAACATCAGGTGAGAAACGCTGGCAGTAGGCCCTGTGGTGGTCGTGGAGGAAATAAAGAGGTGAGGGCTGTAGGACATGTCTCAGAGGAAGGGTGAGCAGGGGGGGCCGCTGGCTCGGGTGCCGGGGGTGTGAGGGACAGGAAAGCACTGAGGGCAGTGCCCAGGCCTTTCCACCGTCCACAGCGGCATGGACGGTGGTGCCCCACTTCCCTGAGGAAAAGCAGAGAAAACAAGTTGCTGCTGGACATGAAGTGGGTCTGGGCAGTAGATAGGAGGTACAGTTTGGGGGGGTCATTGAAAAATGTCTGCCGTGGGAAGAAACCCCTGAGCCCCAGAGCGGGCTCATAAAGAGGAGAGGCGTGCCGGGGCCGGGGCTCTGCGGTGCTGCAGAATCGGGGCTGTAGCTAGGAGGCAGTTGTCCACTGCACCGCGAGCTGGCGAGATGCTCGCCGCAGCAGGCCTCACGTTCTGTAATGACCTGAGTGAGCCTCGTTTGCGCTGGTGGTCCTTCTGAAAGCCGCTCCCTGCTGTGTGTCTGTCTTTGTCAGACGAGCTGCTGCAAGAGCAGCGGGCCGACACGGACCAGCTCACTGCCTCTATGTCCGAGACCCCCGTGGACGTCCGGGTGAGCTCCGAAGAGAGTGATGAGACCCTGCCGTTCCGCCCCTTCCATCCCTTCCCGTCCTTACCTGAGAACGAAGGTGTGTATGTGGCGGGGCGGGGGGGGTTTAGAAACCCGAAGGGAGCCTTTGGGACCTGGGTTGTGGCAGGGGGGCTGTGCTCCTGGTGACAGCTGGGCAGGGGTTCACTGAGCACCTACTGTGTGCAGGCACCGTGCCAGGTGCCTTCAGATCGCCGGCTTCAGGATCCCCATGAGGTCAGTAATATCCTCCCACTTCATAGACGCTTTGTGTGAAATCCTCTCTTTTTCCTGGTCCTGTCAGCTGCCTCCACAGAGTGTGTGACTCCTGGCACGTGGACGTCACTCTCCTGCTTAAATAGCACTTCCGTGTTATGTGAGGCCATCAGCTTTTCATAGCAAGCGAGGGGGGCAGGCAGTGGGGAGGCTACAGAGGTGGCTTGACTTGTTCAAGGTGACACGTCTGGTATTGGGGGGGGGTGAGGGGGTGGGCGGGATCAGAAGTCCTGTCCCTCTGACTCCCGGTCTGGCATGCTTCCTTCTATTCCCTTGCTGGTTCTCGGTGTCTAAAAGGATCTTTGAAGGCTGTGGGTCTGCACCAGAAATAAACAAGCTGCTGAGCCCGCTGCCCTGAGACCAGGGTGTGGAATCCGTTTCTATTTATTTGTTTGCTGCTGATGGCGGTGACGGGGGAAATAGTGGCCACAACCGTGGAGTCCTCATATGCCGCTCTAGCTAAGCCTGGTGCACGGCTGCTCTCCTTGAGTCCTCAAGAAAGCCCTCTTTCGTGGGTCCTAGGGCCTGCCCTCATTTGAGCATTCCACGATGTAAAGAGGTTAAGTGTCTGCCCAGGGTCACGTAGCTTGTAGGTGGAGAGTAAGGATTTGAACCCCTGCAGTCTTGGGTACAGTCACCTGCCCCTGACCAGCTACAGCAGTGCTGGAACAGAGACCTGCTGAGCGGGGACCCTGGGGGGCACCCAGCTTCACCTTCAGACCTTAACAGAATGCCTTCTGAACTAGTTACCCCAGAAGCACCAGCTCAGTTTGGGTGACCCTGTGATACTCAAACAGAATCTGAGAAAGGAGCCAGATACCACTTCGTTCCTAAAACCCGCACTTCCAAACGCCAGACTTCCACGGGCCTGTAGGGTGGCCATGCTTACACACCTTGTTTGGGGTGGGGGCATCTCGGACAGGTTTGAACGGGGACCCTGTCCCCTTGTCAGAAAACCACAGTCGATAGATACTGCCTTTGTTTTTATTATTTCCTGAGAGAAATAACTTTGTGGGCTCAGCTGAAGAATTTGGGAATCTCCCAAAATTTCCCCCAAAGACCCAAGGCAGACCTGTTTTTTTCTCTCCTGCCTTCCAGTCCATATGCTGTGGATCTTACCTGCTGGTTTGTTTATGGGATATTTCAGGCATGTCTTTAAGGAAGAAAACTTTCTGTTCACATTATAGAGAAATTCTGAGAGGAATTTCAAAAGAAGCCATTTTCTTTCTTAATCTCCTTTCTGTGCTATTTTTTTTTATTGTTTTCCTTTCTGCTAGACACTCAGCCGGAGTTGTACCACCCAATGAAAAAAGGTTGGTCTGTCAAAGATGTTCCCTTTAAAGACCTCATTCCTTTTCACTTCCCCCGTGTGTCGGGAGTTTCATTTTCTGTGTCATACCATCACCTGAGATTTTCCCACCTCATTTCTTCAGACATGGCTGTGAGTGGAACCAGAGTAGCCCTGTGTCCTGCACGTAGGATCCCGTGTCTGTGGTATTGGTGATAAGGTGGCCATCCTGAACTTACCTTCTGGATGTCCAGAGAATGCAGATATTTTATGAAACATTTTCGTCTGGGTAGATTTTTAAATGCATATCCAACTTAAACCGGTTGGCTGGAATTGCTCACGTATTTGAAAATATGCTGGGTGCACCTGGCTGGCTTGGTCGGTAGAGCTCTTGACTCCTGATCTTCAGGTTGTGAGTTCGAGCCCCACATTGGCTGTAGAGTCTACTTTAAAATCTTTTTAAAAAATTAAAATATGCTTGATTTAGGGGCAGGTAGAGAGTCGTTTTCTTTGACCTCTTCCCCCGCCCCCCCCCCCCCCGCTGCTCCCATTACATCTTTCCCTTTCCTTTTAGCCACGCCTGACCCTTTGTCGATGCCCACTTGTCTCCTGTCTGGAGTTGTAGCAACTCCTCAAAAGCTTAGAAGCTGATGGATGGAAAGGTGGTGACAGGTGGACTCTTGCTGCATGATAGGCAGTGTCCAAGCTTCAGAACAGGCTAGGACTCTGTAAGCACTGTGCTGAGGGCCTCACGTGCTTGGTTTCATTTAATGCACTGAGCACACCTCATGGTCGGGTTTTTCGCTCTCTCAGACAGATTAGGTGGTTGAAGAAGCCTCAGGCTGCGTGATTTGCTCAGTCATGACTGAGAAATGGAGGAATCCGGATTTGAACCCAGCTCCTTTGTCTTCAAAGTCCGTGCTGTTTCTGTTCCATACAATGCTGCTGAATCTCCCCGCTTGTTGGGTAGTCTGCCGTCCTAGGGTCAGTGTGTTCTTAGTGTGTGTTTTATGAGCCCAGTGTACTGGCTCTGGCAGACTTTGGATGGACCGGGCAGTGTTCTCTAAGAATTTGATGTTGTGGTTTTTGCCACAGCTTTGCCTCAGAACATGAGAGTGCAGTTCGAATCTTGTAAAAGTCACGTATATGTAAATGCTTGATTTGGTTCTACTCGAATATGCCTCTTCTTGGAGATGACGGAGTTCCCTTTCCTCTGAACAGTAGTACATCTTAGGTATTTGTAGATAGAGATGAATTTCCTAGAAATTTACCTGGTTTTCATCCTCATACCTCAGTCGTTCCTAGTTGGAATAATTTAAACATGAATTTTTGTTCTCTTAATGTCACTTGTTTATGCCTCTGTAAAACCAAAGTGGTTTTGGTCAGTGTTTAAGAAAACATGTGGGTTATACCACCAAAGGAGTATGATTACAGTCTAGACAGTAGTAGGATTTGAAATTAGTTGGTTCAGTGCCACGTTACTTTTCAAATAGGATCCTGCCCTGTGACCTTTAAAGTCTGGAGGAGGAGAGAGGGAGTGATGGAAGGATTAGAATTTACTAGGCTTGCTCATCCGCATCCATGCTGAGACAGCACCTCTCCAGATTCCTCTTTCTCAAATAGTCAGTGTGCAGTAATACTGTTTCAGTGGCCTTTTGAGACTACAAAAGCCAGCCCTGACTTAACTCACCCTAGAATCGAGTTGTGAAGTTCCTCTTTGAAGTGAAGGCTTTAGGAAAAACCAGCATTATTTTTGGCTGCCTTCTAATGAGTGAACGCAGTAGCTAGCCCTCGTGATCGGCGCCCATGGTAGCTGTTACTCACAGCTCCACGTCAAGAATGAGTCTGGTTGTGAGCTGTGCTGTGGCCGGACCTGGTGTCATTGTCGGCAAGCCCAGGGACAGCAGTGCTTGGCATATGCTTCTGTTTGAGTCTTCCTCACATGCAGGTGGTCCCCTTAGAATGCTGAGTGCGCTGTCAGGGTGATCTCTTTATAGAAGGTTCAAATCACAGACATTTGTATAGAACTGTGTATCTTATTATTCACAAAAAACTGGTAGGATAGCTAGGAGTCCCCTGCTTTTTGAAGCTAGAAATAAGGAGGATGGCTTGTCGCTTCTCCTCTGCCTGGGTTCGTGCTGGCTTCAGTCACGCCACATCTTTGGATACTGTCATTTGGGGATGCCACGCACAGGGGATGTTGGCTCAGGTGATGTCTGACCTGGACAGGAGGAGTGTGGCTAGTCTTGTTCCACATGTAGAACAGTGCCTTCCACCCTCGTGTTAGAATTCTCCCTGTCTGTGGAATGCCTCTTTCCTGTTCATTTTCTAATCCCCATCGAAGATGTGACATCTGTGATCTAAGCCCTTAGAGGATGACAGGCTAGTGGGAGACAGAGAAGAAGACGAATGAGTATAAACAAGGATTTTAAGTGCTGTAAGCTGGGAATATCTCCCAAGAGGAGCTGCAGCTCGAAGGACAAGGTCCTTCGTCAGGCAAGGAGGGTATTTCAGGTGGACAGAATTGCCTGTGGAATAAAATATGATGCCCGAGGCAGACGTGCAGATTCATTGCTGGTATGATGGTTCCTCCATCCAAAGGGAGCCGAGGATGTTGAAGAACCGGGTTGTGGGATAATAGGTGCTTGGTCATATCCCAGAAGGGTATTACATGTTTTTCTGTGCTACAATGCCTTTGGACGCCACTTCTGTTTACCTTATAATAAACATTCTTTTCTGAAGGCTGGCATTCCATTTTTCCAAGTTGGATATAAGTAAGCACTCTCTCTTCCTCCATTATACCCATCGGTCCTCTGAAAAATGCCTGCACCATTCATCCTTCTAGAGCACAGTGCATTCCCAGAAATGGGAACAAAGTAACATATCATCTAGCCTGGGTGGGCGGTGGGGGTGGGGAGGTGATCAGCGAGGGCTCCTTGGCCCTCAGGAGGGAGATTCTGCTTCTGTGAGGTTGGCATGAGGCCGGCCCAGCCTGGGAAACACTCAGCTGTGCTCTCTCTCCGACACAGGATCTGGAGTGGGAGAGCAGGATGGAGGGCTGATCGGTGCAGAGGAGAAAGTGATTAACAGTAAGAATAAAGTGGATGAAAATATGGTGAGCCTTTTCTCCCTTCTGCCCTACCCTGTTTTAATTTTGAGACTAATTAGCATGAGTGGCATTGTTCTAGATGCTTTCCAGATGAACCTCCATGTGTTCCTTTTCCATATGGTAGAAGATGGGTCGGCTCCAACTACTCCCACAAATTGGTTGTATTGTTTAGCATCTGGGTATGAGAAGGAATACAGAATCATTTCTCAGCAGTGGCTCATCTCTTGCTATACAGTGGGGGAAATACATTTGCAACCGAAGATAGGGATAAAATATGGGAGGCCATTTTCAAGTGAATATAGAGATTTAGTAACTTGAAATTGGAATAGAGTCGACTTTGACTCTTCTCTTGCTTTAGGTTTGTACCTACTATTACTATTCTTTTTTTTTTTTTAAGATTTTACTTATTTATTTGAGAGAGAGAATGAGAGAGAGAGAGAGCATGAGAGCGGGGGGGAGGGTCAGAGGGAGAAGCAGACTCCCCGCCAAGCAGGGAGCCCGATGCGGGACTCGATCCCAGGACTCCAGGATCATGACCTGAGCCGAAGGCAGTCGCTTAACCAACTGAGCCACCCAGGCGCCCCCTACTATTACTATTCTACGAGCACTTTTTTGTCACTGATATTTCTGGATTCTCCTCAACTGAGTTCGATACTTGAACATGACTTCTTGGGAGTCTGTCCTGAAATGTCTCTCCATAATGGTTACCTAAAGGAACATGCAGGCGAGAGCCCTTGAGGGGCCAGTTGTGACAGAGTAACCTTGTGTCCACACTGGCCAGCTCCTCTAGGGGTTTGGTGAGTGGATTTAGAATGTGCTGAACTGCTTGGTTAGTGGGTATCCTCAGGTGTCCGCTTCCCTCCAGCAAATAATAAATGGAGTAGAAAAGAAGCGGTTCCATTTGTACTGAAGGTCCCCCTTCCACCCAGTTGCTGACCTTTTCATACCGTTTCAGGTCATCGACGAGACTCTGGACGTTAAGGAAATGATCTTCAACGCCGAGAGGGTTGGCGGCCTGGAGGCAGAACCGGTGTGTGTTCAGCTCCAGAACCCAGCTGCCAGGGTTCACGGCGCTCTTTCCATTTCGAGTGGAAAACAGAGATGCCCGGCGTCTCAAGTTACCAAAGGCCCCCGTGCCCATTTTTCCACACGTTTGGATAAGAAAGCTAAAATTAGGATCTCCGTGGAGATTGGGAAAAGTGGGAGTTCTCCTTATGGGGATGGTTACTTGGAAGGCAGGATCTTGGAGCTCCCTGGGTTTCGGGGTCGTGACTCTCCAGGAGCTAGGCCCTCGTGGAGTGCGTGTCTCCTGCTGTGCAGAGTCACCGAGACCTTGTCGCACGTCTGCTCTGTTACTGTAGGAATCCGTGGGGCCCCTGCGGGAGGACTTCAGTCTGAGCAGCAGTGCCCTCATTGGGCTGTTGGTCATTGCGGTGGCCATCGCCACGGTCATCGTCATCAGCCTGGTGATGCTGAGGAAGAGACAGTATGGCACCATCAGCCATGGGATCGTGGAGGTGAGTAGGCCTTGTGCCGTGGCCCCGAGCTGGGGATGGCTCGCTCTGTGCTGTCAGGGTTATGGCGTGCAGACATCTCAACTTCCTGGGTGCCGCGCTTCAGTTAAAGTAGTCACTGGGTTATCAGGTCACGTTTCGGAAGTCCGCCCCAACTGAATTATGTTGGCCCTGTCACATTTTAACATTAATTTGGGCCTTTGACTGTGAATGTGAGGAAAACATAAGAGCGTTTTATGCTGCAGAGGATGAAAACTTTGCTCAGATTATTTCCTTGGTGTTTCCTTCTTTCCAGTATGTTTAGGTATTTGGGAATGAGGACTGTCGATACCCTTCTTTGTTTTTCTTGCTGATTTTTTTTTTTTTAAGATTTTTATTTATTTATTTGACAGACAGAGACACAGCGAGAGAGGGAACACAAGCAGGGGGAGTGGGAGAGGGAGAAGCAGGCTTCCCGCTGAGCAGGGAGCCTGATGCGGGGCTCGATCCCAGGACCCGGGACCATGACCTGAGCCGAAGGCAGACACTTAATGACTGAGCCACCTAGGCGTCCCAATAGTCTTTTTTTAATGGGAAAAAAGAACAAGAAATTTAGAGCCAGAGCAGACTGTTTCGGTTCCGTCTTCTGCTAATTCATAATTAGAATTGCTTACGACTCACTTTGAGGTAGGTGATGGGAATGTCCAGAGTTTTGGTTCCAGAAAATGAATACAATAAGGAATGTGATGTGCCCTGGAAAATTAGTTCAGATGTGTGTCTTAGTGACTTGGTTTCACCTCCTGCTAGACACTGACCTAGTAGTAGAATTTCTGAGCTGGAAAAGACCCACAGATCACGTGGTCCCAGTTCTGATTTTATAGGGCTCACTCACCAAGGCTGTCCCAAATAAGACATGGTAGGCGCCGTGGTGCTAGGAAGTTCAGTTCACTCTTTCCTTTAACTCGGACTCTACTTTTACGACTCCAGCTTTCAGAAGCTTCTTTGGCCCCCTTCTTTTCTTCCTCCTCCTCCCCCAGTGTCCTCACCACTGGCTCTCGTTTGGTCTACCCGGTGGCAGTTGGACACCGGCTAGACTTTGGTTCCCAGGGGATTGCACAGCAAACGGCTTCGGTGTTGCGATCTGTGCAGTGATCTTCCGTCTTCGTTCCTCCAGGTTGACCCAATGCTCACCCCAGAGGAGCGTCACCTGAACAAGATGCAGAACCACGGTTACGAAAACCCCACCTACAAATACCTGGAGCAGATGCAGATCTAAGCGGAAGGAAGCGTGAGGCGCCACCCATTGGAGCAGGCGCTGCAGGTGGGCCAGGAGATGGCGGTCCGGTGTTTTGGGTCAACTCCTGACCAGCAGTTGCGCCCGGAGGATTTCATTCGGACCTCCTGGATCATTAAGACTCTAAAGTACTACTGTAGAATCACAATTTCCATTCTTTTAAATGGGTGAAAAATGTTAATATAACAATATATGATATATAAACCTTAAATGAAATGAAAAAAATGATCTATTGCAGATATTTGACTGATGTAGTTTTCTTTTTTTAAATTAATCAGAAATCCCACTTCTATTGTATTGTCTCACATATGCTCTCTGTAAATGGACAGTGTTGGTTTTCGGTGATGGACTGTATGTGCAGGCCGTTTCAGCTGCATTGTATAAACCACTCTTTAAGGCTCATTCACTGTCCTGGTTTTTCTTAGGAAAAAAAGAAGAAACTAAGGCAGTATTCCCTTTTTAAATGAGCTAGCTTTCAGAAAGTTGCCCAGAAACTAAATGTAATAGGGAACCATCATTGACCACTCAAGCACATCATGAGACCCTCGCAGAATCATGTTAAAGGACCAGTTTCTTGGAAGCCTGGTGTTCCCAGTGCTGGGCACCTTGGTGTCACCCAGGAGGCTGAAAGCATTTGAGTTCGGCAGCTTTTAGCAAGCCTACCGTATACAGATTAGGGCAGCCACTCCTGCTTTCCTTCTAAATCCAGTTCTTCCATGGAAATTAGCCTGTAGTTTATATAGGATGTCCTTCCACTGTCTGCCGTTGACTTACTGTAGGTTTTTACTACTCACTTCCCTTTCCAGTCACGTCCACACGTACTGTCTTTTCCTCTTTGGACAGCCCTCCCCCTCCCGCCCCAGCACTGACCCTCCCCCCTCCCTGTTGTACCCTGACTTCCCTGCCCGCCCCCTCCCTCAGCTGCTCAGAGAAGACCACAGTAGGGGGTGCCACGTGCCCAGGAGAGAGGTGGGGGGCTGGCTTTTATGTGCAAGGAGGATACTCCAGGTTGTACACGAAATGCTCTGTAGACACCGTGGAAAGCTTTGGAAATTTTGTTTCCTTCACCTGAGTCTTTGTGATGCTTGTATAGTTGGTGATGCTCACAGTTTTTTCTTTTTCTTCTATTGTTCTTTCTTTCCTTTCATTCTTTTTCTTTATTTTATTTTAGTCGGAAGGTTCTGGTAACCTGTGGTGTATTTTTTTCTATTTCCCTGTGACCTTTTTTTTTTTTTCCCCTTCTTCTTCCTCCCCTTTACTTATCCATGTGTCTTCCCACTATGCACAGATAAACTTCACCTACAAACTCCTTAATCTGATCTGTGGAGAATGTACAGTTGAAACACATCAATAAATACTTTAACTTCCACCAAGACTCCTTGTTTCATTGGCGTGGCGTTAGTCCGTGGTGATGGCTGTAACCCTCCTGCCTTCCCTAGAAGGTTCCCAGCTGCACCACAGGGACAGGAATCTGGCCACTCAAGCAAGTTGGCTCTTAGGCTTGAATTCCGTTTGTTCTTAAATTTTTTTTTTAAAGATTTTATTCATCCATTTGACAGAGACACAGCGAGAGGGGAACACAAGCAGGAGGAGTGGGAGAGGGAGAAGCAGGCTTCCCGCCGAGCAGGGAGCCGGATGTGGGGCTTGATCCCAGGACCCTGGGATCGTGACCTGAGCCGAAGGCAGACGCTTAATGACTGAGCCACCCAGGTGCCCCTTGAATTCCATTTTTTCATTTAAAACTAAGGGAGGGGCGCCTGGCTGGCTCAGTCAGTAGAGCGTGTGACTCTTGATCTCAGGGGTGTGAGTTTGAGCCCCAAGTTGAGTGTAGAGATTACTTAAAAAAATACTAAGGGAAAGTGCTTTCAATCTGAAGGCTGGTATCTTTTATTTGTCTAAGGGAAATATTCTTTCATTATTTCCTTTAATGATTTCCTCCACCATATATTATGTTTTCTAAAATGTTAATTTGGCTAAACATTGGACTTCCCTGATTGCTTTTTTCTTTAAAATTTTCTATGTAGGGCGCCTGGGTGGCTCAGTCGTTAAGCGTCTGCCTTCGGCTCAGGTCATGATCCCAGGGTCCTGGGATTGAGCCCCACATCAGGCTCCCTGCTCAGCGGGAAGCCTGCTTCTCCCTCTCCCACTCCCCCTGCTTGTGTTCCCTCTCTCGCTGTCTCTCTCTCTGTCAAATAAATAAATAAAATCTTAAAAAAAAAAAATGTTCTATGTAGTTTCAGTCTATAATCTGAGTGATGCTTTGCCTTTATCTTGCAGCCTTTTTGGTGAATTTTGTAAGTTTACAATTTCTGGAGAGGGACACCAGGGTGGCTCAGTCGGTTAAGCGGCTGCCTTCGGCCCAGGTCATGATCCCAGTGTCCTGGGATCGAGTCCCACATCGGGCTCCTTGCTCAGCGGGGAACCTGCTTCTCCCTCTCTCTCCCTCTGCTTGTGCTCTCTCTGTCAAATAAATAAAATCTTAAAAAAAAAAAATTTCTGGAGACCTGCTTACTTTATTTTACTATTCCTTTCAACATCGCTTTTCACGACGACAAATCTGAATTTATACCTGTGAATTTTTAAAGTTATCTTTAAATTACATGTTTCCTTCTGAGCTATTGACTTCCTGTAAATGTGTAGCAATCATTTATTTGATCATGGTTAGTTAAAAAAGTTAAGAGGGAAGGTTAGTCGGACGTTTTGCCCAGCAAAATTGAATTTGGGCTACTGATACTTATTAATAGGAGACTTTTTTTTTTTAAGATTTTATTTATTTATTTGACAGAGGCACAGTGAGAGAGGGAACACAAGCAGGGGGAGTGGGAGAGGGAGAAGCAGGCTTCCCGCCGAGCAGGGAGCCCGATGTGGGGCAATAGGAGACTTTTCTTTTTGCTTTTTTTTTCTTAAAAGATTTTGTTTGTTTGTTTATTTGACAGAGACAGAGTGAGAGAGGGAACACAAGCAGGGGCAGTGGGAGAGGGAGAAGCAGACTTCCTGCGGAGCAGGGTGCCCGATGCGGGGCTCAATCCCAGGACCCTGGGATCATGACCTGAGCTGAAGGCAGACGCTTAATGACTGAGCCACCCAGGCGCCCCAAGACTTTTCTCTTTGAAACTGAAAACAATGAATGGGGCTTGTGGCCGGATTTTCAGAGAAATATTTCCAGCCTTGACTTGTTCCTTTAATGACCTGCCACTAGGAGGTGCTGTTTTCTTATTGAAGGGGGTTTGTTTACCTGATCTCTGCTTATAGCACTTTATGCCTGGGGCTGGTTTTCACTAGTGATTTGTTTTTAGTGTCTGGCTACATGTGTAATAGTAAACTCAGAGCTAATCTTAGAGTCCTCATCCCAGTTGAGCTTAATGCCGGTTTACATTTATAGTGCAGTGAAGGTAACACTACATGTATGTACATATATGATGCATGTATCTTGCTTAGGGTACTCAAATATAATGACTGTGCATCTTACAAACCTGCTGCCAGGAAGCACCATGGGACAAACCTGTTGAACAGGCTGGTTCTTTGTAACCATCGCTCGGCACTTCCCTATCTGCCTCTTCCTCCTCCATTGACCACTCAGATTGCTGCCAGGAAAGTCATGAAAAAAATGAAACTTTGAATTTGTAAAGCCAGTTTCTGGCAGAGTGATATGAAAAGTATTGTCACTTGACCTTCTGCGGTATCAGCTGGAAAATGTAGATGGAGCATTCCTTATCCGGTTCCAAATCGAACAGACCAGCTTCATTTATTTTAGGGCCTGCCATCTGCTAGCTGCCCTACATGCAGAGCCTCCTTTAATTGTCTTAACCTTTATAGCACGGGTATTCTTATCTTGGAGAAAGCTGAGGTTTTCCGACTGCTAAGGGATGGAGCAGAGATCCAAGCTCAGCGCTGTTACAGTAATTCCCTGGCTCCCTGTACGTTGGTCCTGGAGGATAGCGGTCCCTGGGGTCACCCCACAGGCTGGTGCCAGTCAACTAGGACCCATCCAACTGGTCGACTAGTAGGACTTCTATCGGTTACCAACACTCCTGTGGATGGTGGGCCCCGGGGGAGTTTGGGACTGGTGAAATTGTAGTGTTTCCATTTACACATCCGTTACCCAAGTAGGGTCGGTGCAGAGGCCGTTGGGATTAGACTCGAATGTCTTGGCATCGAGGCTCGCATACCTCCCTCATCTTGGACCGATACAGATCTGCAGATATGGTAGCTATAAAGAGTCTGTTTCTTCATTTTGAAAGGAAACGCCCACGGCGATGAGGCGTGTGTCCGGCCCGGACTGCCCAGCAGGCCTCACCCTCGGCCAACTCCACTCTGCTCCTTGGTGGCCCCGGCTCCTGTTTGGGGACTGAGAGAAACTTATTCATCCCCTGGTTTCTGCCTTGGTGACTCAGCTCTGCCTTCTGAGGAATGTGGCCCTGCCCACCTTGCCGTGGGCCTCGGGTGCCGGCACCTTCCAGCTGGCTTTGGTGCAAGGTCCTCCACCTCCCTGTCTGCTCTGTTACAAACCGGAACCCGGCCCCTGAGGTCAGAGCTAGCCCAGATGTCCTGGCAGTCTCCTCTGGTTTCCTTTGCTGTCATACTGACACCCTTACACTAGGAGACACAGATTGGGGGGCCATGAGTCTCTCAGATTTGGGGGGAAGCCAGAGGCTCACTCTCAAGGAACCTACTGTCTTACCTCACTCATTAGAAGTGACGGACATGGAGAAAATGGATGGAAGGAACTAGAAGGGCCCTCATGGCATCTCTCATTTCACAGTTCAAACGTGACCACAGGTCACAATGCTATTCAGTGCAGAACCAAAGTCTGTGGTATGGGCAGCCGGTTCTTTTTTCTGGGACAAAAGGTAAAGTGTTTCTTCTAAAATAAGAATATCTTGCCTGGCTACCCCCTGGGATATGGGGGTACTTCTGTCTGGGGATAATTCTGTCTAGAGCTCCTTAAAAATCGCAGGCTGTTAGTGCAAAACCACTGTGGAGAAGCCCAGGTGTCCAGAGGATGGGACAAAAGACATAATTCACAAATACTTGTTTCAGGATCCTTGAAATGGATGGGGCACGACTTGGAGACTCTTCAGGAGTTCTTTGGCCAAGTTAACCCAGGTCCGAATGAACTTAAGATACTGAAGTCAGTGGCTCTTTCTGGTTAGAGCAGGAACATCCATCAAGAAAACATCTTGATAGGTGCCCTATATATAGTTATTTTAAGATTAGATATAAAGTCATAAATAGAAACTTGGGAAGCATAAAAAAAGATGAAATTATTTTTTCTAAATGTTATTTAATGAAGCCTCTTGGGTCCAGTAAAATATTACAAGCTTCAGTGCAAGCGAAGTGACTGCTTTCGTTCTCTTGTAACCAAAGTCCACAGTTGGTTCAGGTTGCCTTAGTTTTTATTGCTGTCCTTGTTCTGT